CCTCCTCCTGTTTCAGGGCTTCTCTGCACCTTATTTAAACTCTAGCACACATTCATTTATTCCTCAAAAGAGCTCCTGACTCACGTACCAAGCATTGTCCAAGGAAGTTGGTGGGGACACAGACAATTAATTTTAAAATAGTTGTCACATGTCTGGAAGGTACCAGGCACTGTGCTAGCACTGAGGGGACAATGGCTTGAGTGATTCCTCCTTTTTTGGAGTTCAAATGACACCATATTATAATGCTAGGCATCTCCTAAGATAATTTACTTCTTCTAGTTTTTGTTGTTGTTTGAGACAGGATTTCATTATATATTTCAGGCTGGCCTGGAACTCACAATCCTCCTGCCTCAGTCTCCTGAATGCCCAGATTATAGGCATAAACCAGTATACCTAGCATTTCTTTCTAAAACTACCCCATTTGAGGACTGGAGTAGGACATGTTTGAAAATGAAAAAGGTTATGCCAAAAATCCAGAGCAGAAAAGTTTTGAAGGGGAAAGCACTGAGTCCCAGGACAGAAAATCCAGCTTCTAGTCTCCACTTTACTGTTTGTTAGCTGTGTGCTGGTCCCTGGACAAACTCATGAGGAAGTTACTTCATCTCTTGAGTCTCTGTTTACTCATCTATAAAATAAGGAAACTTTCCCAGTCTACTTCACAGAGCTGTTGACAGGACCACACAAACAGAAACCTCTGGAAAGTACAAAGCACCTTACAGATATAAGGGGCTATTAAAGTAATAGGAAAATTATAGTAATAATAAGATAACATCAGAATACATTTATCTTATGTAAAAGGAAGAACTTCCCAACAGAGATTTCCACTCCCCCAACCAGCGACAAGAATGAAGATATACTGGAGGCTTTGATCACATTGGATGGATTTGGGGGAGTGGGACTAGGTTAGTGTTCTTAATAAGCCATCCAACCCCCCAGGCTCATTTGGGGCTCTCCCTCTCCTTTAACAAACCAAAGAACGGTCTCCATCTGTCCAGAAATCACCACCCAAAACCTTAGGGTAGGAATCCATTACACTCTAGGCCTAAGAGCCATACCATTATAGCTACTCTCACATGGCCTGCACTGATTGGCTGGTTTCTTTCTGCCTGTTCTGACCTTCAGAATCCGATTCCAACTCAGGATGGCCAAAAACAAGACAAAACCAACCAAACACACACACACACACACACACACACACACACAAACATTTGAGGGGCATCCTTCTCAGCTAATAAGAGAAAGGGAAGAGGAAGCCAACTAGAGAACTGGTAGGACCCCCTTCCAATGTGCAAAATACTCAAGAAAGCAAAAGAGAAAACAGACTAAATCAAGTTTTTTGGCTTTGTTATGACAGATCAGAAATATGAAATCAGAAGTTGAAAAATATGAAAAATGCTTTCAATTTAGAAGTCAGGAGACCAAGGAAAAGTTCTGGTTCTCAATCACCTATGATCAAGAGTTGTGCCCTTAGGCACCTCATTTAAGCCAATTCAAGAAGTATCTAGAACTACAGTGGCTCACACCTGTAATCCTAGCTACTCAGGAGGCAGAGATCAGGAGGATCATGGTTCAAAGCCAGCGTGGGCAAATAGTTCACGAGACTCTATCTTGAAAAAAATCCATCACAAAAAAGGGCTGGTGGAGTGACTCAAGGTGTAGGCTCTGAGTTCAAACCTCAGTACTGCAAAAGAAAAAAAGACAAAAAAAGCATATTTAAATGGTGCTACTGTGTGCTTACTTAGTGATCTCTAAAGTAATGGCTACCTACCAGTTCCTCTCTACTGCCTGTTACTATGGCTGGATGAGTCAGGAAAGAACTCAAGGGTGAAATTGTGGAATCACAGCCCAAAGGAATACCTCTGTTTTCACTGAAGGAAAGACAGGCACCAAATACCTTCCATAAGGATGGTTTTAGAAGGTACCTTGAGAATTGTATGCCCATCAGTGCTTATTTCAGATCTATATAACTTTTGGATATAAAGAATCAAGAGTAGAATCACTAGATGCTCATTGTGTGCTCAATGGTGAGCACTGAGAGTTTGGAATTGTGTTAGATCTAAAAATATAAAGTGTTTTGGTTGGAGAAGGACTTGCCTAAGAACCACAACCTTTTTCTCCCCAAATAACATTTAAGTATTTTGAAAATTAAATGACACACTGCTTCAAAGTGTTCCCCGGAGAGAAGAGAAGTAAATGATGCCTAGAGAAGTTAGGTAGAGTTTCCTGGAAAGGCAGAGTGTGAGCTGGAACATTAAGGATGAATGGGTAGGGTGCAACAGTGAAGAACATGTGACCATGTCCAGGGAAACTTGGGTAGTCTGTCTCAGGATAAAGGAGAAACAAGCTTGTCTGGAGTCAGGATGCATTATCAATGAGCAGTGGGAAAGTCTGCCTGCTAATGGGGAGGTAGGGTGGGGTCAGACTCCAGGGACTTTGAAGGCAGAAAGAGTAGTAAGCAACATTATCTGCTGGCTCAAAATACAACAGTATTTCTAAAAGGTTTCAATAATATGATCCACTAGTGTTCAATGAAGGGATAATTAGGCACAGATTCTTGAGAGAAGCAGTGTATATAATTCACCTGTCTTTCAGACAATATATTAGGCATTTCAAATGGAATGGAATTGAAGGGTCACGTTTTCATCAAGGTCCAAGAACTCACCTAGAGATAGGAAACACCAGATAGAAACAAATGGTCACTTTTCCGAATGGAAAGGGATTAGGAGTGCAGAGGGCCCCAAGAAACCATGCTGGGACCTGTCTGATTTAAATTTTTTGTAAATTATCTGGGAGTAGGCAAAGTGAAAATTTCAGAACTGTGTATCATATTAAGTCCTTTCAGACAGGGAAATGCCATGCTGAAGGAGAGGGGAGGAAGGGTGAGTAGTATGTAAAATGGCAGTTGAATGTCATTTCGGGGATGTAAGGCAATGAACTCTGATAAAAATAATCCACATATAGGGTGTTGTGTTCCAGGATATCAGTTTTGACCCAGGAAAGGTATTGGGGAGCTACTGCAGATTTGTTTCCCAAAGGCAGTGACCTAATATGTTGAGGTCTGGACAACTGACAAAGAGATGGGCAGAAGCAGGACAGGACCTGGAAACCAAAGAAGAAATCATCCTTGCTTTATGCAAAACCATAGTCGCACACCTGGGGACAATGGCCAGGTTAAAAATGAGTGCCCCAAAATATCCCAAAAGGGCAACTAAAATGATCCAGAGGATGAATGTGGCCATTCTGGGGGTGCCCTGCCATAATGGGAAACTTAAGTTTGAAAACAAAAAGACCAAGTGAGGGAGAGTAATTAAAGCCTGTGAAATTGGTAAGGATAAGCACTAGGTAAAAAACCCTTCTCTTCAAATCCTGACATATTTAAGCAAATCGCCTTCTCTTAATGCTTGGAATATCATAGGAATAAAAAGGTCTTAAAGTTGAGATCATCCAGTCCTATCTCTTTGTGATACAGATCGTAGTCAAGCCTACAGAGAGCAAGGAAATGGCTCAAGGTCACAGAAACCACCAGAGGCCAAGGTCAGATTAAATCCCAGGTCTACTAAATCCCAGGCCAGGGTCTTGCCACCTTCTCTTTTGCATTTAGGAAATCTAAGAGAATCCTACTTTTTCTGGGGTGTAAACTCATGAAGTGGATTACTTTGATAAGTAACAGAACTAAAACACAATCAAGCTAGAGAAAGTTTTCACTAAAAGTCAATCAGTAATTATGTTTGGAGGACGACTATGAATTAGGACTAAAGATTCTTTTACACACCCTAATGTTTTTGCAATATGTAACCCTTTGAGAAGCTGAAGAAATCTAGGGATTCTCTCCTACAATAACCACTTATTTGCCCAGAATTTCAAGAGGAATATATGACCCCTTGAGTCTTGTGCCCAATTAAAAATTACTGTTCTGGTAGATTCTTCTGAACAAATAGTCTGCCTGCTTCAACAAATACACTCCTCCCCTTAGGATAATTCAGGCAATCACTCTGATTTTCCCCAGCAAAATACCACTGTCTCAACATTAGTAGAATTGCGGACGCCTAGTTCAGACGATATCAGAAACATTACTTAGTCCGACTGTCCCCCTACCCATGTGATATAGGATAATGTCATGGCTAAATAAAAGGTCACAGTCCCAACTTCATCACTCATGAGCTGTGTGACCTTGGGCAAGTTACTTAAGCTCTCTGAGTCCATATCCTATCTGCAAAATGGGGATATTAATTGCAATTATTATCTCATGTTGCAGTTCTGAGGATAAAATGAGATAATTCACATAAAGCACCAGGCCTATCCCATAGTGAGTGTTCAGTCAATGCTACCGGGCATTATTGTTATTATTATGCATGTATCCATGCAGGTATTATGCATGCATCCATCCAATCCCCGCTTGGAGCTTTTCTTGCACATGCCAGTGATGAGCAGCTCACCGCCTCCTGAGCTGGCTGAGCAGCTCCAATTGTTACAAACTTCTTCCTAAATCCAGCCGCAATTTGCTTTCCTGTAACCCCCACCCCCATCCCAGTTGGCCTTAGTTCTGCCTTGTGGGGCCACGCAGAGCAAGTCTGTCCTGCCTTCACCTTCCAGCCCTCCAGCTGCAAAGGCAGCGATGGGGTCCTTCCTCCCCCCCGACCCCGCAGCCTGAGCAGCCTGAGCATCCTCGGTTTCTTCTCCCAACCCACAACAGACTGGCTGCGCTTACTATTTACTCCGAGGCGTTGTACGGTTTCCCTCACACATAGTCATGCAGGCCACACACCCCACCGCCGCCGCCACCACAACCCGGACCCTCCGCTGCGCTCCCGCCCGCTGCCCCTGTCCGCGGTGCTGAACAGCGCCCGGCCCCGGCGGCGGCCCTCCCAATCCCGCCTGGGCCGCGGGCCCGGACCCCAAACGCCGACCCCCGGCGCGGCACGGCCAGGCCCGGCCCGGTGCCGCCCCCTACCCTGACTGGAAGCCCGAGCCCGCGCCCCGGCCCGGCGTGCCAGCCCCACCTGCCCGGCGAAGGACGCCTCCGCCTCGGCCGCCCGCGCCGCCGCCACCGCCGCCCGGTCCCCGGCCCGCGCCGCTGCCTGCACGGCGCCCGGAGGCAGCAGAGCGCGGGCAGCAGCAGCAGCAGCAGCAGCCGCCCGGGGCCCCGCCAGTGGCTCCAGCGCGGGGCCCGGCCCGGCGGCGGCGGAGGTGGCCCCGGCGCTGCGCGGCCGCCCCGGCTCCTCGGCATCCCGGTGGCCGGGCCCGGCCGCCAGGCTGCGATGGCGCGGCGGCGGCGGCTCCGGCCGGGTCCTCCCGCTGCAGCCGCTGCGGAGCCGCCGAGTCACGGCGCCGCGGACACGCGCCCGGCCCGCCTGCCTTCGCCGCCGCCGCCTCGGCCGCCAGCGCGCCCCCGCCTCCGCGCGCCCCGCCCCGGCTGGGGGCGGCCGGGGGCGCGGGGGCAGCACCCGAGCGGGACCTGTAGGGCGGCCGCGCCCGGTAGTGCGGGGCAGGGGCCGAGCAGCGGCGCTGGGGAGGAGTCTACGAAGCTGAAAGAACAGCTCCAGGGGCAGGGTCCTAAACCGGCATGTGGGGAAGGGGGTTGGGGGCACCCTGAGGGAGAGCAAAGAGGCCAGATAAATAATCCTGGCTCGGGGAGGACAGCCGGGATTCGGGGCTCGAAGCCTAAGGCTAGCTAGCCCTGGAGGCGAAGGTCTGAGGTATGGCACCAGAAGAGAGAGGGTCTCAGATACAGCTTGGGGGAGGGGACAGAGGAGTGGCACTGGGGTAAGGGTTGGGTTGGAGGAGAATGAACTAAAAAGATACCTGGGTCTGAGAGGGTGGCTCTGGAGAAGGGGGTCTGAGGGGCTGCCCTGGGTGTGTGTGGGGGGGGGGGTTGGATGTTGAGAAGCTAAAAGAATAGAGCTGAGAAGGTTTAAGGGGGCAGCCCTGGGAACATTAGGTGAAGTTCAGGTGAAACTCACTCCTTCAACCTGAGAGGGAGAGCGATCACCCAGCTGAGAGGTTCATCTTTCATCCCAAGCAGCCTATATTTATCTGGCACTTTCTGTAGGTAGGGCTCTGGGCTACTTGGGATGCGGAAAACAAGCAAAAAGGAAGACCCACTTACTGAAGTGTAGAGGTGAGAAGTGCCGAAAAAGCTTCAGGCAAGTGTTCAGGGATTAAGGGAGGCCAGATGAGGGTATGGAATAATCAGAAGAGGTATTAGGGAGGAGATGGGATTCAAGCTAGGTTTGAAGGAAAGGTGAGTGGAGAGGGGGAAGTTGATGGCACACAGGATGTGATTGGTATCATAGGTCAGTTTTTCTGAAGTGCAGGGTTCCTATGGGAGGGTGCTGAGGAATGAGGAAAATAGTTTAAGATGGTGAATGCTATTACATGCATATGAGTTGTATTCTGAACGAGTGGTGACTTAAGGTTTTCTTGAGCAGAGTGATGTATGGAAAAAAAGGTATTTTATGGTTACCTGGTAATTTGCAGGTGTGGAAAGGGCACAAACTCTAGAGTCAGATCTGTGTTAATTTTACTTTCATAAAATGATGCCAATATTACTGTATAAAATTGCTCCATGGGGGCTGGTGGAGTGGCTCAAGTGGTAGAGCACCTATCTAGCAAGTGTGAAGCCCTGAGTTCAAACCCCAGTACTACCCAAAAAAAAAAAAAAAAAGATTGCTCCTTGGCAATTTTATAAGTAAGTGTTCTCTTTTAGTTCCCCTCCTAGAGTAGAGAATAACCAGAAGAGACAGAAAGATGAGTTAAGAGATTATTGTAATAATATCAATATAAGGACAAAAGGAACATAAATAATAATTAATGTTTATTGAATGTCTACTACATATCAGTCACTGGGTTAAGTAAGCACTGTACTGAATTAAATCACATGTAATCATCATATATGACTCTTGTGAAACAAGTGTTATTATTATTCCTAATCTAGAATAAAGAAATGGAGGCTCTGAATAAATTCAACAAACTCACAAGATTCATAAAAGGTATAGCTAGAGCAATCTGACCTCAGGGCCCTTTTTTTTTTTTTCTTGGATGGCAGGGGATGAGCGAGATAAAGGGCATAAAAGAAGAAGGAAAGGAGTTTGGGTAATGACCAATCCAGAAGATGAATGATAACATCTTCATAGAACTGGAGTCATCACGAGGAGGAATTGGTTTGGGGGAGGTGACAAGGAGTTTGTTTTCAGGCTTGTTGAGATTGGGGGTGGCCACAAGGTCACTGAGATGGGTATAGCAATGAGGTCAGAAGAGGTTGAAGAAAGGATATTTTATCAAAATAAGAGTAAAACAGGGCAAAAGGCCAAGGGCCCCATCTTAAAACATCTGAGAGGAGAGCCAACAACAATGAAAAGAGTCTGAAGAGTGGTCAGAAAGATCAATTATCAATTATAAGTTTCAGAGCCATACCTCTTGCTCTTCATGCACCTGCTTTACAAGCTTAAAGCCTTGAGTTCAAACCCCATTTCCACCAAAAAAAAAAAAAAAAGAAAGATCAAAGAAGGCTGAGGATGTAGCTCAATGGTACATGCCTAAGGCCCTAGGTTCAATTCCCAGCACCACAAGAGAAAAAAACAACAAGCAAACAAAATCGTTGAAGTATCAAGATTGTGGAGGTGTCATGGGAAAAGTGTAGGGAGAGTTTCCAAGAGAGGTGAGGAGTTGGCAGTCTGAGGAGTTCAAAGAGATTGAAGACTGGTAAACACCATTGAATAACTCATAGCCTTGGAGGGAGATAAAGACAAATAATTGTGGTTACATAAGTTATGACAGCAATGGGGACAAAGCATTGTGGAAACATTGAAGAAAGACAATGAATTGTCCAAAATTACAAGATTTGGGAGGGAGTATATTTCCAGAAGGAAGCAATAATATATTCAAGGAGGGAGAAAGAACTTCTTAAAAGACAAGATCTGTCTTATTCATGTCCTATGTCTAAGGCCAAATTCCCATGAACCACTCATGACGATATTGGGCCCACCTGGTCCACCATGAGCCAACTACCAGGGATGGAGTATGTGGATGGTGGTAGGTAATTGATGGTAAGGAAAGAAGAGGCTGATATGAATAAAGGAATGTTTATCAAACGAATCCCTTGGATGGTCCTTAGCAACTGGGAGATCCCAAGACCACTGTGAAATCTGTTTGGATGTTAGAGGCAGTTTAGAAGGCTCCAGAATAATATACTATGATGAACTAACCAGAACTCTGTCATCTCAGCCTCCTGTGACCATGATAAGTGTGGGATAAAATAGAAAAAGCATTTAACTTAGAGTATGACACCTGGATTTGGTCCTTTTTTTGTTTTGTTTTTGTGGTACCGAGGCTTGAACTCAGGGCCTACACCTTGAGCCACTCCACCAGCCCTTTTTTTTGTGTTAGGCATTTTCAAGATAGGATCTCACAAACTCTTTGCCCCGGATGTTTTTGAACCTCAATCCTCCTGATCTCTGCCTCCTGAGTAGCTAGGATTACAGGCATGAGCCACCGGTGCCCAGATGGATTCAATCTTTCCATTAATTTCATTGTGCCGTTGGGCAAATTGCTATGTCTCTATGAGCCTTGGTTTCCTCATTTGTAAAGTGAAACCACTGTCTCCTATCTTCTCTATGGGAAGACTGCATGAATAGTTGGTATTCATTTTGTAAATAATATAGTCAACTGACCAGATGTTAGGAAAAACTTTGAAATTTATTATATATATATAATATTTATATATTTGATGGGACTGGGTTTAAAAAATTATATATAGTATTATATATAACATATTAATTATATATTATATATATATTTAATGGGACTGGGGTTTTAACTCAGAGCTTTGAGCTTACTTGAACCATACCTCTAGCCCCCCTGAAACTGATAATCTTATCAAGAAATATTTATTAGTGCCAGAGCTCACTGTAGGCAGAGACTGGGGTCCTCTCTTTCCTCTACCTCCTCTCTTATTTCTTCATTCAACACATATTTACCACATATCTTTTAGATTCTGGATATTGGGAGGGGTGGGGAATATAAAGCATCAGTTATAGTTTCTGTCTGTAGAAAGATGGTCATTGGAGAGATGGACACTAATATAGACAACAACCAGAGAACACAGTAAGTGCTACAAGAGACAAAAGAACGATATATTATGGGAGTAGAAAGGCAGAAACAACAAATTGTCTAGAGGTGGGGAGGTGAGATGGGCTGAGACTGACCAGCAGGAATTTGCCATGGAGAGTGGGAAGAAACTGTGTGTATAAAGACACAGATGTACATGAATGCCAAACCTAGTTTCATAACAATACCAAGACAGTATTTTTTCTTTCTTTTTTTGGCAGTCCTGGGGTTTAAACTCAGAGCCTCACGCTTGCTAGGCAGGCACTCTACCACTTGAGCCCTCTGCCAACCCTCTTTTATATTGTTTTTTTTCATGATAGGGTCTCACAATTTGCCTGGGCTGGCTTTGAACCGTGATCCTCCTGTTCTCTGCTTCTTGAGTAGCTAGGATTACAGCTGTGAGCCACCAATGCTGGCTTTTTTTTTCTTTTTGAGATAGGGTCTCATTATATAGTCCACACTGGACTGGAACTTGTCATCCTTCTGCCTCAGCCTCCCAAGTGCTGGGATTAGAGGTGCGAACCGCCATGCCTAGCCTGTTATTTTCTTTTTAAACTCTCATTCTGTCATGAGGGTACTATGTAATTTCCTAGAGGCTTCATGGCTTATCACCACAGGTGCAATGCAGAAGAAGACATGAGAACACAACTATCATCTCTTAAGTCAAACTTGAACAGAGTTTTAAAATTCAAAACAAAACAATTCTTTGCACTAAATACGTTTTGCTTTAGAAAATATGGCTATTTTCATTAAAATGTTATCTATGTTATAACAGGTTTATTGTTATTTTATTCTTTATGTGTATGTATTCATTTTTGCAATGCTGGGGATGGAATCCAGGACTTTGCTTGTGTGAGTAAGTGTTCTACCACTGAGATACAATCTCAGCCCCATATTGTTAATTATTTTTAGTTTTTTGGTGGGCCTGGGGTTTGAACTCAGGGCTTTGTGCTTGCAAAGCTGGTGCTAACATTGACCCACACCTCCAGTCCATTTTTGCTCTGGTTATTTCAGAGATGGGGTCTTGAGAACTATTTTCTTAGATTGGCCTTGAACCACAATCCTCCCTATCTAAGCTTCCCAAGTAGCTAGGATTACAGGTATGAGCCACCTGAGTCACTG